TCCACGGATTATTACCAAAAACTAATCAAAACCTAGCATTAGTTCAGAGCATCTATGTACCAAGTTTCATCAAAATCCAATGAGTGGTTGTTTAGATATCAGTGGAACAGTCATGGAACCACTAAAAAATAGCTAATTATCATGTAAATTAGGTAATTAATATGCACGGATTTTTACCAAAAATTAATCAAATCTGCGCACATGTTCAGAGCATCTATGTACCAAGTTTCATCAAAATCCAATGAGTGGTTCTTTAGATATCAGTGGAACAGTCATAGAACAGCTAAAAATTAGCTAATTATCATGCAAATTAGGTAATTAACGAGCATGGATTTTTACCAAAACCTAATCAAATCTGCGCATTGGCCCAGAGCATCTATGCACCAAGTTTCATCAAAAACCGATGTATGGTTCTTGAGATAGCAGTGGAACAGTCGGACACACATACATACACACATACACACATACAGACAAACTAACTGCAAAGACTCCCATTTTGTGCTTCGCACATGGGAGTCAAAAATAAATAAAAATAATTGACTTATTTAACGCTCTAGAGTAGCTGTGCGTATACACAAGTCTACGTTACAGAACTTTGAATATAAATGCGTATCACATGATAAAAGCACTACAACAATTCTAGTATCACTTTTAGTGATGCATATAGAGTGAAAAACGCATGTTTCGTAAGATGGTCAAAAGACGGAATGTTGGAGGATACAAACATACGAAAAATACGTACCGAGTGATTCAATACTGGGTCGTTCATTCTTAATTTTCATGCTACCACATTCTCTCTGTGGTATAACATCATTAGGATTTATTCCGCCCTTATCAAATTGACATTCGTAACTTAGTAAATATTTGTTGTAATTCTTCCGTAAGGTAAATGCCGCCGTGTTGCTGCTTCCTATGTTCATTACCGCACATATATCTTTCCATTGCTTGTGTCGGGATACCTAAAATATAATACCATTATGAACCATCAAGTCAGCTCTATCTACATACATTGCCACATTGTACTGTAAAATACTTAATTTTAGCTGGAATGAATTTTTGCTGAGTAGACATTTTGGGTGTTTTGTAGGAAGTTTATTTTCACTGATTTGTGATGAGTTGAATGAAAAATTAGTTAGTTTTCACTGAATCATTCCTTCCACAGTAAACTTATTAATGTAGCAACAGGGTAAAAAGTGTTGAAAATTTATCTGTGATTCTGATATCCTCTAAAAGTTACTAAGCATGCAACAATAACAATCTATATATTATCTGAAAGCTTAGATATAGGCAGGTATGCAAGTGCATATGTCGGACTGAAGCTTGAATTAAATCAGCCAACATGTGCTCGAAATCTGGTTCGAGACACATTGAAATACCTGACTTAAGTGTATTTATACAACAAAAATGGCTGTTAGTTGGCCATCTTTGACCCTATCGTGGACGGGAGTGAACTTGGCAAATTAGCTCTACAATGTTCAGGGTGCATGTTCCAATTCAAATGACACAAGATCAATCCCTCTAGTAATAACACGTGTAGGTAACACTATTGGATTGGCAAGATTAAATGTTTGGCTATATGCTATTCTATTTCTATTTTTGTACTGGGCAAGTAGACATTGAATGCCATTCCAGCAGATTTCGGATAAAATATGGAAGTGACAAGACCTGAAAGGTGTATTAAAGTTTCTGTCTGGAAACATTGGAAAGATACATTTCTAATACAAAGAACTTTGCTACTTACCTCAGCTGCTCCACCTTTATCTTTCACACATTTATACAATTTATATAAATCTAACGTAGTATTGCTCATCATGGGGCATTTCTTTATAGGCTCTCCCCTGTCTTCCAAAAATTTTACAAGTTTATCTAGGAATGGTGCCCTCGCTGGGTCATCACAAAGTTTATAAAGTCTCCTGGCCTGCAATACAAAAGATTTATGATTAACAACTGTAAAATATTTTATTTCAGCGGGAATTAATTTTCGTGAAAAGCTTTTGGGTTTTTTCATATGGAACTATTTTTAGAAGTTGAATGTAAAATATAAGAAAGCGGTATATTCGCTGAATCATTTTTCAGAAATACAGTACTGTATGTGAAATGCAGTGAGGGAATTTTTTCACAGAGCCCTCTAGTGGCAACAATACTATTAATTTACTGCAAGGTACTGTAAAAGGATTAATTTTCACTGAATGAGACATTTTGTGCAAGGTTGTTTTTTTTTAACGTTTCCCACCAACTTTTGAAAAATTGATGACAAAATAGAAGTGAAAACATATTCTAAACAATTTCTTTTTTCCCTTCAGCTAAAATAAAATTGAAATAAATCAAGCGAAAATAAAGAACTTTAAGGTTCACGTTTTAAATTTTTGGTACAACTACACAGGTACATGGAAATCGCCATCAAGGCCAAGAAAACTAATTTTTTTGAGCAAAGATTAACCATTAGCAACTATAGAACAGGTTGACAGGATGAGCTGAGCAAATTTTGTTTACTCCGTTTAGTTTTAAAGTTACATTCTTACTTTGTACGATTTGCAAGCTACTAAACAATTTACGAGAATCCAATAAAAAATATTCCAGAAATTTAATAATGCTAATGGTCACTAGAATGAATGACACCGAGAAAACCAACGTAGGCAAACAGGGGGTTTCGCTTCTTATCATCTCGCGTGTCTGAATTAATTTGTTGCTGTTGCAATTTTCACACCAGTAAAGTGAGCCACCTAAAGTTGAATTTGAGAAATGTTTTCAGGTTCAGAGAAAGTATTATTCAATAAATGTTTAAGATACTGTAAACTACTTTATTTTTTTATGTTTTGTAGGAAGTTTATTTTCAGTAATTTTTAACAAGTTGAATGTAAAATATATTGAAAAGTGTATATTCACTGGATTTTAAATTTCACTGAATCATTCCTTCAGCGAAAATTAATTCCAAGCAAAAATAAAGTATTTTACAGTATCTTGTTGTGGCATTAAATAATAAAAAATAATTAAATTATTAAATTTTCTATAACAAAAATCTATTTTCTCTTTGTTAGCCCTATGAAAGTTTCTCATTGCATTCACCAAAACAAACATGCCAATGAGGGCAAAATTCATTGCTAGAAATTCTTACCTGATCATTCACAGGTCTTTCTGGTTTGGAAGACTAGAGTAAAAAAACAAACAAATAAACAAATCATTATACTTGATTAGGACGTACAAATTGCCAGATGCAATCAGAGAATAAACTTCAGGATTTTTTGAAATGCTGCATATATATTATTGTATTTTGAAACTGTCTTTTGCTTCACTCACCGGACTTTGAGGGGTTCTTGGTAAACTGTTGGGACTGGGGTTTTGATGGTCACACTCTTGTGACGACGCTTTACTATTTGAGTCAGGTGATGGCAGTGGAGAGGCTCCAAGTAACCCAATAGGTGGTGATGATGGCCTTGACACGCTGTCATCCTGTGGAAAATAACAGAGGGAATCAGATGAACTCAATAAAATACACCTGAAACGGGCAGTCTCCTTACCACACAAATAAAACAGGCAGTCTCCTAACACACAATAAAACAGTCAGTCTCCTTACCACACAATAAAACAGGCAGTCTCCCTAACACACAACTAAGACAGGCAGTCTCCCCAACACACAACTAAAACAGGCAGTCTCCCCAACACACAACTAAAAGTCAGTCTCCCTAACACACAACTAAAAGTCAGTCTTCCCAACACACAACAGTCAGTCTCCTTACCACACAACTAAAACAGTCAATCTCCCTAACACACAACTAAAACAGGCAGTCTCCCTAACACACAACAAAAACAGGCAGTCTCCCTAACACACAACAAAAACAGGCAGTCTCCCTAACACACAACAAAAACAGGCAGTCTCCCTAACACACAACAAAAACAGGCAGTCTCCCTAACACACAACAAAAACAGGCAGTCTCCTTACCACACAACAAAAACAGTCAGTCTCCTTACCACAGAACTAAAACAGTCAGTCTCCTTACCACACAACTAAAACAGGCAGTCTCCTTACCACACAACAATAACAGGCAGTCTCCCTAACACACAACTAAAACAGTCAGTCTCCTTACCACACAACAAAAACAGGCAGTCTCCCTAACACACAACTAAAACAGTCAGTCTCCTTACCACACAACAAAAACAGGCAGTCTCCCTAACACACAACTAAAACAGTCAGTCGCCTTACCACACAACTAAACAGGCAGTCTCCTTACCACACAACTAAAACAGTCAGTCTCCTTACAACAAGCTGTACAATGTTCTGCTTTTACTGACCTTATTTTGCACAGGTTCTTCCTTCACTGGGGCAGGACTTGTTTTCTGTGGATCAGTCATAACGCTATTCACAACTGTTGATGTACTGACGGGTGATGTAATGCTTTGCGTTACCGATGTAAAACCGGGGCCTGCAAATCACAAATTTAGTTTTTTCCCAATTAAAATACAACTTTTGGTAATATAATTATGGGCAGTAAGAACTAGTGTCAAAATAAATACTGAACTAAACAGTCATCTTTCAATAGTGTTGTCATGTCAGACTCTACCGTATTTGCTTGACTAGTAGCTGACATAAATTGGTGAGATTTTTCTATGATCAAAATAAATAATAGTTTAACCATTCATTCATTCATTCTACAGGTTTGTTTAAAAAACGTTTTTACTGGAGATGTGTTTCGAGTAGAGCAAATATGACATTCCCAAAATGGGGGAGGGGCAGTTGTTTAAATACTATTCATAACCAAGTGGCATTATGGTACTTTTTATGGGACAATTACTTTTAGTATTATGTAACTAGCATGTTTTTTTTAACGTCAATATTTTATATTAAGCAGATAGTTAAGTTTGGGTACATCTTTGTAAGACTATTTTTTTTTTTGGAACAAATGTACAGCATCAACTAGTTGTGACAATTTTTGAAGTAATGTGAAAACTTGATTAGTTTCATTCGTTAGGGGGTTACAAAGCTTTCCCATTCAAGGTGTAACAATTCATGGGAAACAATTTTATAACCACCCGTGGAATGAAGTCTTTCCCTTTTTTTAAAAAAAATACCACTCATTGAAATCAGCGCTAACTGACCATACTGCAACTTTGAAAAAAATTATTTTCACAATGCATTCTTTGCGATCATCAAAATGCGAAGAAATGGGAAAATCTGACAAAACTGGACTTGTCAGGTCGAAGGTCACGGTTGTCAGCTTCTTTCCAAAAATGCTGATAGCGGAACTTAACATTCCCTCGCAAGTTGAAGTTTATGTTGATTTCATTGTAAATGTAGTGAAAACATTTGTTGTCACAGAAAGCAATGCCGTTGGAACCTCCAAAAAAATTAAGTATCATTTACAAAATGCTGAACAGAGTTATCAATTGGGACTAAGGCAGTATTTAACAAAAGGCAATGGAAGATAATCTGAGACTAACAAATCCATGATCTGTTGAAAAATTACATGTCAATGATTTATAAAGAATCGCCCACCTGTTGAAATCTCAGCCATGGGCGGCGAGATTTTAGAATGATGATGTATCACGTAAATACAATACATATTTGCAGCATGTTGCCGAGTAGGTGAATACGGTAACTCTAAATAAATGACACATGTACCCAAACTAACTTTCCTGACTTTTGTGGCAACTTTGGATTAGAAAATCGGCAAACTAAATTCACCTACCCCAAAATTTGTTTATTCAGAGTTAAAAAACCACCAACCACAAATAATAATTTAGCATTAGTTTCATAAAATTCCTGTCCTTTTTATTCTCTCCAAGGCTTACTCACACGTAGCATGATGTACTTTCATGCAACTGGATACGATTAATTTCCTTTCAAAAACACCTTCAAATTCAGAGATGGATAGAGTTATACCAAAACTAATGCAATATAGTGATATAAGATAGTGTAAAGACTCAATGGACAATATTACATTAAAGCAATTAATTTTTTTTAGCAACAACTCCCACAAGAGAATATCAAGCATTTTCGTTTAATTTCTAATAATTTGATGGTCGCATTGAAAAATATTTTGAATATTAACATAATTTGAAAACAATTGTTGAAATTAATTATGATTAATTAATAATTATTCAGTGTTTTATGGTGTGCTCACTCAGACTTTCAATTTTGTCTGAACATGAACAAATATATTTCAAAGCCGAAAATTGATCAATTCTTATTATTCAGACCAAGATGCCTGTGGATATATTACATACCATGTAAACAAAAGCCCACATAGGACTGATTCTAAGCTATTCTTTTAAATTAGAACTTTCAATTGCATAAAGAATACCTGTATGCAGCCATTTTATTTATATTTAGCAGTAAATCTTAGTGATATCTAGATTATTTTTAGTGCTTTTGAATACAGTTAAAGAAATCCCAGTTGCGATTCTGATGTCAATAATGTTTACACACAATTCTTTGTTTACTTTGAGGACTCTAGTTTTCAATACAGCAAATCATGAAATGTCCTAAACAAATATTGTTAAGTAATATAAAAAGGTAATTGGTAACAAAGTTTCTAATTTAGAAAAAAATTATCTTTTGCATAAAATGACAAATACAAAATCAGGTAGCATTCAACTTCAGAATGTGTTTGTTTGCCTCCCCCTCCTGCTTGTGTGATGCCCACCAACACCTTGGAAAAAACGGGCAATACCGTAAAATCTAAGAACAAATAAGAACCAAAAATTTATCATTTCTCATATGTGTAGATGCTCTAATCGAAGCCACATCCCCCTGTTGGAATACACCATTTCAACACAAGTCACGGCTTCTAATACAGATTTTACTGTCATCGCAATAATCCCCAAAAAATCATAGTCCGTTATAGTTAAGGAAATGGAACTTTGAAGATCACAGCAAAATTTTTGAATAACTATGAAACATATTTTACTAGATCTAGTAATAATTAATATCAAGGTTTAATAAACTGCAATGAACAAAAAAAATATTGTTGTATGCGGGCGTAAGTAGTCAAAGACATTAGGTCAAGGACAATGGAGGTCATTCCTAGTGTATGTGGTTTGTACAAGTTTATATCTGTCCAGATCATGATCACTGCAAGTTGACCATTGTAGAAGATTTGTCTTTTTCTTCAGTCAACAAAATAGTCAATTTACACACATCCGCAGAAACCAATGGTTCCTATAGCAGTATCATCTTACCACGAGGGGTGAGGGGAAAGGGGTGCAGCACTGTCGGGGGTAAACCGAAACGATACTTTCTGTCTCAATGCTTGTCAGTTTTGTAACATGAAGCAAAACATAAAAATAAGCCATACACATGCAGCTTACTGGGACAAGTGCAACATCAGCAGTGGGAGCAGCATGGGACATGTGAAGCTGAATTAGAGAAGCAAGAGTATGTAATTATGTACATGTATGACAAGCATCTATGACGGAATTAATACAAAATGGTGTGTAAAACGGTTAACTGTTAGTGTCACATGACTAGTAAATGAAAGCAGTGGCAGAGTACAATGATTGTCGTTAAAGTATATGGCAGAGAACCAATGAAAACAGGCAGTGGTAATAATTACAGTTATGTTCAGAAGATGAAATGCAGTGCATAGTTGGTATAAAAGATTTACTTAGAAGTTAAGAGACAGAATGATATCTACAGATGCAGGTTTTCAATGTATTCTTTTTTTTTAATGACAGACGCACCATGCCAATGTCAAAAAGCGTGGGGAAGCCAAAATTATAGTTTGTTTTGGTTTGTTTTCTATCACAATGATCAATATGCCGAGAGTTCTTTCCATTGAAATAAAAGTAAATGTGATCATCAGATTCCCCTAAGAGCCCAACATTTTAAACCAATGCCACTTCAAAAGTATCACATTGGGAAATTATTTTCAGTTTATTTTGTTACTTTTTTTCCCCAGGATTTTTCAGATTGCCTTGGTGCTAAAAGTTCAGAAATCACAAAATAAAGACAGTGGGCAAGTTGGGCTACGAGGGGGGGACCTCTGAAAATTAGATAGAGAGGGAGGGGGACCTCTGAAAATTAGATAGAAATTTTTGGGTGCCTGAAACGTACCTGGTGAAGTTGGCATAGACGTGGCAGGTTGAGGCATAGGACCCGATCCGAAACTATCCATGTTCTCGCTAGGCATTTGCATGGATGCATTTGGCATTGAGGTCGGAGTCATTGGAGGTATTGTGTTGGGTGGGTAGCCTTGTTGAGGCTGCTCTTGGTGTTGCTGCCACTGCTGGTGTTGATAGGATGGTGGAAATGTCCGTTGTTGGTATTGCGGCGGTGGCTGCCGTTGATACATAACCGGCCTATTTTGAGCTGTATTTGCTGCAGCCATTACAGCTGCTTGTGCAGCAGCTTGGGCACCTTTGATACTTGTTGCTGGGTCCCTATTGGGCCCTATAACTTGACCTGAATTGGGTGCAGTGTCAGTCCTCGGCTGCTGTGTGGGTCCATACTGTCCCATTCCTGGTTTTATACCCGTACTTTGAGGCGCTGTCGGTGGAGTTTGTGGTGGCATGTGACCACTGCTGCTGGAACTAAAACCTCCATAAGAGCTGGGCACATTCCCCATACTGTTCACAGATGGATTACGCATGCGTGTATCTGGATACGAGGAAGCAGGCATGCCATGCACATTCCCACCGTTTCCAGTAGTAACATTTGCTCCGTAATTGTTCATTTGGTTATTGTAACCTCCTAGTGGTGGCCGAGGATAATTACCTGCAGAGACATAGAAATTGACACACATTGACAACACACACCAAAACTAGCAGTATGAAAACAGAAACCTCTCATGCACATGCATAATTTCCCACACCATACCACAACACAGGATTGCAGAATTTGCATGAAAGAAACATGACATACAGGAAAGTGAGAGGACTTTCATGCATAAAATCATACAGAAGAACATGCACATTTCTAACATACTATACCCCAGAAACCTGCTCTTTAGTGCTAAGTATTAATTTATGAAAGTGACCACCACCATTCAAATCAAAAGATATAAACAATCGGCAAAACAAGTCACCAATAAATATCGGGCAGTTGATAATATAATCCCCCCCCCCCCTCTGACTGTTGTCAGACTGTTCTAGGATTGATGGGAGAAGAAGAAAAAAATGGGGGAGCATGGCAGACAAACCTTGCTGATTGTACTGGTATCCACTCGTAGGCGGTCCACTATTCTGTTGATAGGGTGCCATTTGTTGTGGCGGATACATTGCCGGGCCTGTAGGAGCTGCATGCGGAGACATTTTAGACATACCTTGGCTTCCACCATAGGCAGACATTGGGGATCCCACCATCTGATTCCCAGACCCTTGCATAGATCCATGCATTTGTTGATTTAAGCCTGCGAGTGGCGAAAAACACGAGACTGAGTGATTCGATTTTGAAGTTGAAATTACCCCCCCCCCCCCCCCCCTGTGACAGTTATGCTCTGACTAACCCAAATGCAAAGACCTGCTGTAAGTTCAGGTAATTAAGCAAATGACACTGGAAATGCGAAATATTTGTCACTCAAACACAGGAAAACTGGTCTAAACTGAACCATGTGTAAAATATTAGCCTTTTCTAGAATTTTTGTTATAAAAAGGGGCACACTTTTTATGATAGGTTTATCCATTCACCTATGATTACTAGTGTGCACATATGCATGGATACATGCATATAGCGAGGAACTGCAATCTGGAAACTTGTCAAAATCGCCAACGGGGAAAAAAAAAAGGAGTGTGTAGACTTAAACTGTACTAATGGTGAGAAGATGTTAAATTTAGACACGTTTTGCTGTGTATTGTCTGCAATTTAACATTACAGAACATTCATTTTACAAACAGACCTTGAAAAACTCTTGAAGCAACTTTTCATGCATCTGATAAGCAGAAAAGTAAGTTTACCCAAAAAATAAAATAACCCAGCATATTTTTGGAAAAAATTATGTTTGTATTTTAGTGACTGGGGTCATTCTTGTAAGTATTATAATGCTTTTACAATTAGTTACTTGAGCAAGAAAGACATTATGTCATCTCAAATTGAAAAAAATTATATATCATGTAATATATATCAAGTACTTTTTGCTATCCTGAACTGTTTTGAAAATTTGGGCTTTAGAAAGTGATAAAAAATGATAATTTAAACATGCAAAAAAACTTCAATTTCCTGTTACCATGGGACCGTACATAATAAATAAACCAATGACCATTGTCATACAAATTATGACAAACTTCTACAAAAACTATGAGTAGATTTGATCTATCTCATCTCCAAGTTTGCGTACAGTTGACCATGCGTTTGAAAAGGTGGTCACCGGAGTTAGTACGTCTTCTATTACAGAGACACCATCATAAATGTGCATGGGTCTCACACAAGAAGATCATTACCATAGCAACCAATTTCAGATGGCTCAACACAAAACAATAGTGTATGCAATGCATTAGGAGTAAAAATTCACTATTTATATAATGGAAACTATTATATTGATAATATACGACCTTTTCAATGGAGGCCACCAAGCAATTTTGAGATGTGGAGAAATTAATTTATGATGGTTTCACAGATTCAAAAATGCTAATTTTGAAAAAATTTTCCAACATATTCAAGTGATCTATTTTTTGTTTGGGTATCTTGATATGACAATGAATGAAAAAAAATAATAAAAATGGCATACTGAAAATTAATTATTCACTGGCTTTTAATTAGTTTTATTATAAACAAAACTTGTTAAATGAAATCACAATAGAAATCATCGTCTCCTGATGAGTTTATTAACCAAATTAAAACCAAGAAAAGTTGCTCAAAACATCAAAATACTGAAATTAAACACCAATGAAAATAAATAGTTCTACAGTAGTCTTTAATTCAGCCAAAACTTTATGAACAACAACAACAACAACAACAACAACGTTGTCCTTAAACAAGAAACAAGAACTGAACTGACACTCACCTCGTTCCATCGTCCTTTCCTGTGTAGACATCGGTGATGGATGATTCACTATTTCTGATTGGCTCGAAGGTGGTGGCATTTGATTGGGTGGTTGCGGGGTCATTGGGTTGCCTGGACAGAGGAAAGCAAACAAAAATCTTGTACATTTACTGAGGGTACCTTTCTTCCACTTCAGAGCACACCTCCAATTGTTTGGCCTTTGAAGCATTTTCAATTTCTTTGAATTTTTTCATCATAAACACGCGAAACAAAAAATGTAAACACAAGTCGTACTGTTACCATTTGTGTTTAAATTTGAAGGTCAGTTACACTGTAGGTATGTTCATTTGAGTGTCAAGACACTCCAGCACTCTCAAAATAAACTAGTGTGAAAGTGATGCTGGAAAATCTATATTTAATGTAATATTTTTTGTTTTTATAGCTAAAACTGCATTTTTATTTTGTTGTGGGAGTTATGTATCACATATTTGCAAAGTAGGAATGCAACTATAAGTTGCTTGGACAATGTATGTTGAACCATAAACACCCAATTTTTTAGACTTATAATGCTTTAACAGAATTTGAATTAAAATCCTAAACAAACCCAGCTATAGTGGCTGAAATGTGTGGCCTCAAAAGCCACAGATTCATTTTAGTTTAATACAATATTTAATACTTCAGAAACGTTTAATATGGTCCCAACTCTACATGTATTTGCTCTATTAGTAGGGCATGTGCTTACATGAATGACACAAGTGATGGTCTAATCAAGTCTTATTTTAATGACCTAGCAAACAATAAAAATAATTTTTGCATTTATGCGTAATTTTAATAGTCCAATAATTTTAATTATGTTTTTTAATTGGTAGTTCAAGTGAAAAGACATTGCAAGACATGTAAAAGACTGGCAACACAAGCTACGAAGCTGATAAAAATAAACCAACCTTGTACACTGGCTGGTGACATAGACGCCGACCTTGATATGTGACTCGCCGGAGATCCTACAGGTGATGGCGATGGTCTTAATGCTGTGACTGAAGGGTGGACATGTGGTGACTGTACTGGAGTATTGAAACCATCATTAGAGGACTGTGATTGTGATGACGGCTGACTTGGCTGACTGCTTGCTGGCGCACTACCTTGATTAATTTCTAAGCCAGACGGTAAATCGTCAATAGCACCTGCAAGATCCTACAAAGATAAATACACAAAATATGTTAAGGCAGTTTGAAATTCGCGAATTCACATTTTACATACTGAGCCTTTTCCTGCGCATATATGCAAAGCATTATGGGAAAAGACATCTTAATTGAAAACTTATCGTACTGAAAACTCACTAAAATTAAATGTAATTTTGTTGAAATGTTTGAACAATTTTAGAATTCATATTAATAAATTTCATATATGGAGATATTATTTTACCATGGAAACCAATGCAAACATGCAAAGTTTTACCATGTCATTTCAAACTCGTTTTGATTCTGCCTGAAAAGTTTCTAATCTTGTTTCTATGAAGTTGTTTTCGGAAATTATTCATAGAGGTTCCGAAATTCGTGCAGTCGGGGGGGGGGGGGGGGGGGGGGGATTTTCCAGGATTCTTAGTTACTGCACAACAAAAACGCAAACCCAAGCATGTATTTACAATGGTCCCAATTTTAACATTCATCAAATTGGAAAGCGGGAACAATATTCGGTGTTTGGATAGGCTGTTGAGCATTACGATTCAACCGTTGTATATTTTCGACAATTCGCTCAAATTCAGACCTATTTCATACAATATACATTCCCAAGGTCTCAATAAAATGCAATAAATGCTCTCAAGTGCAACTTTTTAAATTATACCAAAGATTATACCTATTAAAACATATCTTGGTTTTGGTTAAGACAATTTTATATGCAACACCATTCACTAAAATACAAAAATCATTTTCTCAAAAAATAGGATTGTGACCCGCAACTTTAATTCAATGTTCTAGTATTCAATTCGATGGAAAATGAACAAATTCTGGATACTTTTACGCACGAGTAGACTTAACATAAACACATTACAATATGTTTTATTTATATATAAAGTCTTTGCACAATATGTACAATGTGGCATTATAATACTACTAGTACTGCAAGAAATGTTGTGACTACCTGTTCTCTGAATACAGTGTATTGCACTTTTATTAGAATTATTTCTTGAAGAACATGTATGGCAACATAGTTTTCATGAGCAAAATAAACAAACACTTGTAAAGTGAGCTAATACAAAATTACTACAAAATCACCTATTGTATCTACACAAGGCAAATTATTGCATTACAGCATTACTTTCCTGACAAATTAAAGACCAATAGGAGAAAGACAGATATTGGATAAACAACTTTAAAAAAAATATCTCCCTGTATAGTGTAAAAAGCAGAAAAAACACCAAATACATGACAGGGTAAATACTCGTATGTTAATCACAGTAAATACAGCAGTGTCTAACAGCAAGTGCTAGTTTGCTAAAAAACAATATTTTAAACAAGTTTATGACGTTTATTACAGCACTGAGTATGCAAAATTGTATTGAGATTTGCCAAAAATCTAAACTGTAAGTGAATAAATGAGTTAACATGCTGCCCCAATACTTCAAGAGCTGCGAAAAGAGCAACAGTAACCAACCCGAAAAATAAAACAAATGACAACCAAACAATTCACTGAACATTGTTCCTAAAATAAAGTTCATTCCTCCTTTACGTACACCCGACTGAAAGTCAGATGCTTCCAATATTCCGCAGATGAGACATAAAATCCATAATTTTATCTCGACAATGAGCTTTAACTGTCGTGATGCAACAACAATCTAGTTACAATAATACATTACGACTTGTGCAATCAATGAGCTAAGCCAACAACATATGGACCACGTCCATTCACAATAGACGACTTATTTCAGTGGCATTGATGCATCAATGAACTATTTTTTATTGACTCAGTGGAGCAGAGAACACGTGAACAGATAAACATTGAAGATACTGAGCATCATGAACAGAAAACCAGTTCAAAACCGCAAAGCGTTTAGAAATCACAGCAAGCAATTAATCTATAAAAAGACAATTACAGTTGAATTATCGTCCTATTCAAAGCAAATCAATGTTCTATAATTTTGCGCTTCATGATTTTATCAATATTGTCCGTGTCATTGTGATATTAACGACAGTGTTTATTAAATACCGTAAAATGTTTAATTTTCATTGCTGCGACATTGAGGGCAAAAAGTTTGCAAATATCACTGGGACTTATGAAATGAGTACTGTTGGTTTTACAAGTTAAACTATTCCCAAAAATCTGCAGATTTCCAGAGGACTGACTGACACAGATGACCAGAATGACTGGGTTCTATTAAATAAATTTAACTCTTAAAACTATCAATCATCTACCAGCATTTTTTTTTTTTGAATATTCAAAAACAAATTCCTGTCACTTTTACATTATGAAAATTTACAAGAACTAAGAAAAGGCAACAATAAATTAACCCTCTGAACAATATGAAACACATGAATTTATTTCCTGCTAACCTTATTTTTGCGCAACATATTTTTTACAAGAACTAAGAAAAAGCAACAATAAATTAACCATCTGAACATTATGAACAACATTTTTTCCTGCAAACCATTTTTTTTTTTTTTTTTTTTTGTGCAGCACATTTTCACTTATTATCCTACAATGTTTATTTTAAGATCAAACGTACACAATTTTTCATTGACTATATATGTTTGAGTTTATTTCGTAAAGTGACAAATGTTAAAGAGCGGCGGTCGTCGCACAGCGTCCTGTTCAATATGGGACTCATAACGGCGTATACAACGCGTGTAAAATACTTTGTTTATTTACATGAAATTCGAACATGCGGTGTGCGACGACCACCGCGCTTTAACATTGGCATTGAAAGGGTTAAAAAGCAGGGTTCTTTGTTAAGTCATTAGAACACTAACCTAAATAACACAGGCCATGTTGAAAATCACATTCCTTTTTCTTAAAAGCGTCATGTCATGTGAAAATGTAAAACAGTTTCAGTTCAAAAAATTTGATGTGCTAAAAATAAACTAGGAGTCTCCAAGAAACAGTCACATAGGCAAGTTAAAGTTCACCCACTTATTATTGAGCCATTGTCTATATGCTTGTAAGCTTGTCTTGTGTCTTTATTTTTGAGGTAAAAATATATACGTTAAACTTTGGGTAATTTGGAACTGGCCATTGGAGCAATTCCAAATTTTGAAGAAAATGCACTGACCTCTTCTTTAATTTTAATTTTTGATTTTGACAGAATTTATTGAATGCACTCACTTTTCGTGTTACTGCACTATTTACAAAAATTTTGGGCAAGCCAAGGGATTTCACACAATTAGTTGACAAGAACACTTTCGAAGAAACTGCAATCCAATCCTATATTTTTTATGAATGTTATTAAATTTGATTGAAAAAAAATACTATTTAATACATATTATGTTATATTATTCACATTCTGTGATATTAAAATATTGAAAGAAATATTAATTTATTACCCTCGCTACATTCGAGGAAACATCGCATAAATTTATGTTGAAAGTAATGGCAAGATCAATCTCGCCTTTAAAATACTAGTTGACCTTGATCTGTGTCGATTGAGTAAATAAAGCAATATTAATACACCCTGAATGAATAAAGTAGTTCCAGGGTAAACCAATACAATATTCTTCATAGATCATCTCGATTTATGAGCTTGATAATTTCGAATTAAAATTGGAAAAATCATTTTACAAGTTGATTAAGTTTGGTTTTATTAATTGCACGTGATAAATAAATTCATTAGTTATCAAATTTGCAAGCTTTTCGTGAAAAAAAGACAGCAAATTAAAAATGAATCTTTTAAATAAATTCTTATACTAATTAATCATCAAAATTTGTTTTTAAAAATTGTCCGGCAGTAACCTGACCCCCATTGCAACATGGTTTCGTTATAATAAGCACAGTAAGTTCAATTTAGTATTTTTTCTTTCCTAAAATAAATTGAAAAATATAATGTAGCTGATGGACAAAAACCTTCATTAATTTTTCAACAGCAAATATAAATAAATAGAATAACATACAAGAAAGAGTGGTGAAACAAATTTAGATACTTACAAACCAAAATGCTAACTTTCTGTCCTATTTCACAGTAAGCATCTACAGTGAGCGTAGCTGAACAAGCAGCACAGAGCATTTATAAAGTGAACTGTCATTTGCATATATCATGTCAAAGCCTAACACAGCCTGAATGTCTGCCATACAATACAATTTTCACAGGCGTTTTATTCGCATCTGCCAGTTGGTTTAAATTCACCACTACCTGGCCATCCATTGCATAGCCTGCCAGTTCTGATTATAACCGGCCTCATTCACTGTTAAATGTCCCGCACTGTTTCAGTATACAGAGAAAAAAAAAAAAAAGAGCCTATTTGCAACAGCCTTGGCTATGTTGGCGAATAGAAATCTACTCTATTGTTCCTGGCCATTTACATTGAAAGCCCAATGGTTTATTTATAAGGCAGGCTCATTTGCATGAAAGTAGTTCCGGGCTGTGTTCAATCTATGACCAATTTTAACCTAAGGGAAAACAGTACTGACTTGAGGGATTTTTTACAGAGTTCTGAGTGAGTTTCACTTTGTACAACAATTCAGAATTAAATGTAGAAATTTTCCTGATATTACCAGAGGTATTGCGCAATGTTTGCACTGCTATTTTTCAATTTTTCAATTTAGTCTCAAAAATGGTAGGATAATATATGGAGATAAACAAAGAATCCTGCCCTATGCAGTATGCATCAAAGACAGTTTTAAGCATTAACACTTATGTGGAATCAAGCATGGATTTATCAAGATTTATAAGTAAATCTCCTTATGTGGTTTAAAGGACGACAAACCAAGTCACTCTTCATCACAAGGGGACTTACAAAATTTTGCGTCAATTTTTTTTCTAAAATAAATTGAGGTCACTGTGTACAATAAGGGTCAAAACGGTGAGTGGAACAGGCTTGTGTGCATATCACAATACAATATTAGGATCTCCTTTATGAGTGTATGAAGTTTTTTACAGGCGTATACTTCGGGGGAAAAACGTAGCACCACACCAAGTGATCACGATTTTTCAAGAAATTCATACCTCTGACCTAAATTTTTTTTTCAAGGTTACCTCCATTTTG